ATGAAGAAGACAGAAACAAAATTGCCATATACTCCGAGCAAGGATTCGCAACATATTTATTTCAACAGAATGGGGTTTTTTAGACATCATCAATTTGTAAGTATCTTAAGATCTTCAAGGTCTTTTAATGATTTAATTTTTTCACGTTATTTTAGGCGTGTGATCTCAACATTCATATTCATTATATTGCGGTACGATATCCCGGAGCGTGTCAAGATGCAGCGATCGAAGACTATTGCCGAATCTGGAGAAATTATGCTCTGCGCTTTCCTCAATATAGCACTGAATTAAAGAAATGCGCAGCCAACTATCCGCAAATAAATATTGCTGAAGCTAGAAGTAGGGACAGCGTTGTGCAGATACAAACTCTAAAGGGACGCTCATATTGGGGTGTACTATCACACCACTTGCGCAGCTTGGTAGTGGACTAACTTCTCAAATTCGTTCGTGAGTACCTCCTTTGACGTAATACAAAGAAGTATTAATGAAGGGTTGCAGCGTCGAAATGGATCTTCATATAAACCACTTTAATCCCACGACAGTCGGGTATACGTAACCGGAACGACCCAGATTTATATCTGACCAAGGACTGTCACTCCAGCAACACTTCCCAAAAAGTCTTTGGGGAATTTGTATGCAGCTACAACAACAACAACGGCCATCGGGTTCTTTAAAAGAATAAACTATCTTGCTCTCAGAAAAATAACAGTGAATTATGCCAAATTTAAGTTTCAATCGTCGGGAAAGAAAGTATTGGAGTTGTAACCCCGAGATCCTAAAATGGGTGCACACAATGACAGTACGACTAGTAGTGACTAGAAGTTTATTAGCGTTGAAACTGTCGCCCATCACAATTCAGACTGGCAGGTGCGATGGGCACGTACCCGACGACAGGACAGGAGGTCGTCAAACACGATGAAAAGGTATCGCCCTTCCGTGTTGCCGCTACGAGGTAAATCTCCCCATCGAGCGCACTTTCTTAAACATTCCAAGGGAGGATTTTGACAGAGAAAAGATCTTATCATCCATGAACTTGGAAAAACTATTAACCTACCCCTCACAAAGCTTTTTTCTTCAGAGATAATATGAAAAAAAAAATTTAAAAGCACTCCATTATGGAAGGACATATACCCAGCAAACATTGAGGTTAGTTATTAATTAGAGAATGATTGGAGAAATAGCCACATTCTCCGCTCCAATGTTTTTATCATGGTTTTACCTTTAAGTGTTTTTATCATGCTCCAATCTCAAACGTTAGAGATCGACTCAGAAAACCTATCGAAAATCATAGCGATCTCAACAAAAATGGGACATACTTCTCGACTCGAGAAAATATTAATTCTCGAATCGAATTCTAATATTAATCTCTAATGAGATTCGAATGTGAATTTCAAACTACTTCATTAAAAAAAAACGCTTTGTAAAATTTATATTAAATGTATTTGCAATAAAATAATTATGAATTATTTGAACTTAAAGGTAATTTATGATTTATACATTTGGAATATTGCTTATTTACATTTATTTGAATTTGCGTTGTTTCTCTAATCGTTCTCGAATCGAATTCTAATGGAGTTTTCTATTTTCGTCAACGACTCGAGAACGACTAGAGAATTATCTTAGTTATCTCGTGTAGAAATCCAAATTTCTCTAACGTTAGAAACTGTGTTTGCTGGGTACCGGCAAGCATCATGCATTTGCTACAGAGACGGCTCCAAAACCCCAGAAAGCGTTGAGGCAGGTATTTATGGCCTCCAGATGAGCTTATACATACGTGCCTATGAGAAAATACCGTAATTAGAGAATTAATTAGTTGTTAAGATTTTGTGTTGTACAGTACGCGTCCAGAGAATTACAAAAACAAAATACCTTTGCGCAACCGCCGTTAGAGTCATTTTAATTCCATACCATTTACTAAAAATCTCCAAACGAAGAACTTTGCGGCTTTTAACGATATTGGTTTGCATCATATTAAAAAACTATTAAGAAACAACCACCCAATTTAGGTCAGATGATCTTTACAACCTGAAAGGTATAGATAAATAAAAATTTCCGATCTTTTATGTACGCTTTGATAGACTCACGCAAGGTGCATGTGAAGAGGTGCTGTGTGTTGTGGGGACCTTGCCACATGCGGGGCAGGTGTTTGTGTTTTCTGTTTTAAGCCGAGAGAAGTAGCTGTTGAACTGCAAGTGGTTTTAATGATTAGCTGCTTTCATGGCAAAAATACACTCAAAGTTTCGCCATTGCTTATCGAGGCGCAACCGCCATTAGAAAATACTTGTTTGGATGTTTCTCGGATCAGGTATCGAACCCTGGATCTACGGAGTGATAGCTCACACCTCTATTCACTCGACCAAGGCGGCCTTGGCTCATACACTATCTCCAAAAGTGCATTACTTTCTGGGATATGTAGAGGGTACAATAGATCCTTAGGTCGTAGTGCATACCTCTTTACCGACTTATTACACAGAACTTGGATAATGGATATATGTACACTCATAGCCGATTGTAGATACCAATTGGAACCGTTTTTAATGACACCTTATCCTTACTATGAACTGGCCTGGATCAAATATAACACTGCTTATTTTAAATGCCGGGACATAGTGGAAAAAGTATTGGTGTCATAAACATATACTTTATTTCGGGCAATACGCTGCAGAAGAATCTACACGAATTGTGAATGTATGTAAAGATGCCTCCCGGCCTGAACGAGACAGAGCTTCGTCTGCACAAATTCGCTCTACTGCAGCAAGTTAAAATTTTACCGAAGCTGGATAAGTGCAGATGTGTCCAACGAATGCCCGGCATGCGGAGAGTCGCCTCACAACTGGCGACACTCTACGCATGCCGCCTATACTCCACTCAACTAACGTCCTTGTTCCTATACACCAATCGAGTCGGAGTTACACTCTTTTTGGGTGTCCCGTTAGTTGAGCTTGACGACAACGCTTTAGGGACAAGCCGACATAGGCAGGACTAAGTAAGCCGCTACAATAAGCCGAGATCTAGAGTAGTCCAACTCTGTTCTGATAGGTGCAGCCGGCTACACTCTTATAGATCCAGTCCAGATATCAAAATAGCAGACAACTGCCTCCCACCTTGTGAAAATGGCTCTCATAACACCGCCCACCAGCAGGAAAACGCGCGTCCTGGGGCTGAAACTGGAGTGGATGGATGAGGAATATTATTAAACACTAAGGCTGGTTTCTCCAATTCAACTTAGTTTAGCCAATTTTTTGGACCTAGTCAAGAATAAGCTGAATAAAAAGTAGGCTAACTTTTGACTTAAGTCCAAAAAATGGCTAAACTAAGTTGAGTTGGAAAAACCAGCCCTACGCGTAGGCAGATTTGTATGTGGATTTGGACGAATTCCCACAGTGTCGAAATATTGAGAAAAGCAAGAGAGATCCGATAAAAAAATGTACTCAAAATGACAATTTGACTTTTCAAAATTCAGGAGCGGCCATGATTCAATAATTAATTTATTATTGAATCATGGGAGCGGCTTCACAAATTCTGATTTAAAAACAATTCATATGAAAAATTAACAAAAAATAAAATTTTTGTAAATCTGCGAGAAACGCTGCGGCCGCTGGTGATGGCAGAGGATAAAAATGCCTGTTAGAGAAGGACTTGGCATAAGTTTGCATTTCCCATTGGCGCCATTAGCATAGAAGGAAATCGAATAGCGAACATTATGTTTTACGAGGGATTCTCGTATCGCCAAAAAGTTAGAGAAAAGCTCGTAAACGATAAAACAAAAAAATATAATAGCCTCTTTGTAATAATTTGTCAGCACAAGAAAAAATTTTAATTTTGTTGACAATTTTTCTTCAATCACAATATTTTATAAGTAAGTAGTTTGTTAAATATTTAATTTAAGAAAATTATTAAGTATGTGATTTATTGGCAGACTGGTGCAAACGCAAAGGACGATCTACCACTTTCTTAAAAAAAAAACCGTGGACCCCTTAAACGAAAAAGTGAATCAGATGGATGCAAAAATTGGAGCTGTTTTGGAGCGGTTATTTTCAGAGGTGATTGCTTTAAGGAAAGAAAATGGTACCCTTCGAAACAATAAGAGACCAACCATTGCAGAGGGCGTCCTGCCAAGAAGCCCATTTAAGGAAAAGCATGCATTTATGGAATTTGAAAAAGACCTTGGGAGTTCAAGTGAAAAACAACAATTATTGGTAACTTAAAACATAAATTAACCATAATAAAATAATTTTTATTGCATTCTTTAAACGCTTTATAGGTTTCTGAACTCGAAGCTATAAATATTTTAAATGTAGATAAATGTTTAAGAACGTACTGGCGGAAAATTATTACAGATGAGGTAGCAGAACTTTTCTCGTGGAAGGGAACTGGTACCAAATGCAACGCTATTGGTTTGGCAACGACGGCGGCAATAAGAAGTACTGACTATAATATTATTTATTACCACTTTTTATTTAATTCAATTTTCCAAAAATTATAAATTCAGCTACTTTATAATATACATTAAACCCCTCTTATTTAATTGTTAATTTGGAAATAGATAGTTTGTTAATATTTATTTATCTGAAAATATCTTCACATATACAGTGCCGGAAAAAAATATTGGCACAGAGAATTTTTCGCCTTGAATGCAAAGTTTTTTATTCTGATTTCTTCTCTAATTGTTTTTTATAAAAATATAGTTAGTAAGAAGTTCTACTTTCAAATCAGATTTTTAGAAAAATTTTAAGTATGCAGTTTTATAGCCCATTTAATTTTAGTATAATAAAGTGCACACTTGAATAGCTAGAAAACCTCTTTGTTTTTTGACAATTTTTTATACGCAATTTCTTCCATACATAAAAAAAAAATGTCGCACATAATTTGCATGGAAGAAAGTGCGGGAAAAGATTGCCAAAAATCAACTCGGTTTTCTGGCAACTTCAAGCTTGCACTATGTTATACTAAAATATAATGGGATATAAAACTGCATACTTAGAATTTTTCTCAAAAATCTGATTTGAAAGTAGGTCTTCATACTAACTATATTTAAAAAAAAAAAAATTTCCGAAAAGAAATTCAAGTAAAAAACTTTGCATACATTGCGAAACATTCTCTGTGCCAATACTTTGATCCGGCACTATAAATATTTATTAATTATAATTCCATTCAATAAAAGAACTACAATAATTTGAATTAATTAATTGCCTTTATTTCTAGCATTCAAAAACAGTAGATAAAGCAGAGTAAAAAGACGCTTATTTAACGTAAATTAATCGTTTATGAGACTCGTTTACAATTAAAAAACGGACGTAAAAATATTCGCATACGAATGCTTTTTCGATCCGTTTACGACTGTTCGTAGGCGATGCACAATTTAAAGTGAAAAAGTGATCGAAAAAGAGTCGTAAACGGCTATCATAAACGATTTTTAATCCGGTTTTTCTTCGAGAAAATATCCAATTACAAGCTCGTTTACGATGATTTTGCTGGCTGGGATATAAAATACCACACCGCTTTATATGTATGTGAATAAGTTTTGTATTGGTTAGGAAAACATCTTTTATATTCCAATTTTTCAGATTTCCAAATAGCGAAAAGCATTGGAGAAAGTCGACATATCGAGCCCAAACCGCTAAAAAAGTGCACACTGCCGGAACAAAGTATTGGCACAGCAAAATTTTCACAATATATGCAACAATTTTTATTCTAATATTTTTCCGCCAATTTTATATAAAAATATAATTCATTCTACAACAAAAAACATAAAAATATAATTCCTAAATTTTGTGCAAAACTCGCGAAAACTCAGCAAATTTTCATCTTTTTAATCCGATTTTTTATAATTTTTTTGAGTATGCAGATTTGTGGCCTACAAATCAATCAATTTTACTGCAATAAAGTACAAGTTTTAAGCAGCTAGAAATTACCGCTGATTTTTGGATATGTTTTATTTCACGCAGTCTCTCCTGTACAAAATTTTTTTTTCGATAATACTTTATATGTATGTATGGAAGAAATGCAAAACATCTTCAACAAAAAAAAAAAAAAAAAAAAAAAATCCGATTTTTGACTAATTCCGAACTTGCATTTTTTTACTAGAATTTAATGGGCTGCAAAACTGCGTACTCAAAAAAAATCTACAAAATCTCATTAAAAAGTTGAAAATTTGCACGAAAATTTGCTGAATTTTCGCGAGTTTTGCACAAAATTAAGGAATTATATTTTTATGTTTTTTGTTGTTGAATGCACCATATTTTTATAGAAAATTGCTGGAAAAATATCCGAACCAAAATGGTTGCATATGAAAAATTTGCTGTGCCAGTACTTTGTTCCGACAGTGTATATATATTAGGGTGGGTCAATTAAAAAAGTTGATTCATATCCTTGCGATTCTGGTACTATGGACCATAACAAACATTTTCGCCC